GGGGCGGGGGGGGGGGGGGAGAATATAAATAAGCCATGTGGCCGACTCCATCTTGATGCTCGGCTCTTCATCGCAGAGGCAGGAAGAAGAAGTTACTCACCCCGTGAAGTAACGATGGTTCTTCAAGATGCGTGTCCCGTGGGTGCTCCACTGTAGGTGTCAGGCTTGTCCCAGCGCCGCTGATTGGAGATCTTTTCCAGCCATGGTCTGCTGGACCGCGCATGCGCGAAGTGTGGCTCGTGGCTTTTCGCACCATTTGAGTGCACGCGGTCCAGCCCCCGCCAGTTCCTCCTGCCTCTTGATCTGAAAGATATAAAGTAAAGAACTCCGAAGAGGGGGAGGAGGGCGGGTCATGGAGCACCCACAGGACACGCATCTCGAAGAACCATTGTTACTTCACAGGGTAACTTTTTCTTCTTTGAGCAGTGTCCCATGGGTTCTCCACTGTAGGTGAATGTACAGCAGTAGCTCACGAATGGAGGAGGGTTTGGAGCTAACATGCAGTAACCGAAGATAACACAGCTGCCGCCACCGCTGAGTCTTATATTAAAAGATTCGGGATGGCGTAGTGAGTGGCAAAGGTTAAGTCCGAAAACCACGTGGCCACTCTATAAATCTCTCTCAGTCGTCCCGTGGGTGCTCCACTGTGGGTGAATGTACAGCAGTAGCTCACGAATGGAGGAGGGTTCGGAGCTCACATGCCATAACCAAAGATAACACAGCTGCCGCCACCGCTGAGTCTGGTATTAAAAGATTCGGGATGGCGTAGTGAGTGGCAAAGGTTAAGTCCAAAGACCACGTGGCCGCTCTACAAATATCTCTCAGTGGGACTCCCCTGAGGAAAGCAGTGGATGTGGCAACTGCCCGAGTTGAATGGGCTGTCGATGGCAGTGGTTTGCTTCGCAGATTATAGCAGTGTCTTATACATTGCACAATGATGGAGGAGATGTGCGGTGCGGCTAATGGTCGGCCTTTAGAACGTTCCATGACTGATACTAGTAAAGAGTCCATCTTTTGGAATGGTTTAGTTCTTTCGATATAAAAGGCCAGCACCCTCCTCATGTCCAGAGTGTGTAAACAGGCATGCTCCAGAGAGTGATGAGGTTTGGGGTGGAAAACTGAGAAGACTATAGGCTCATTGATATGAAAACGTGAGTTCACTTTGGGGAGAAAGCTCGGACGTGGTCTCAATATCACTCCTTGATGGGTAGGAGAAGATGATAAAGCAGCCAATTCGCCGACCCTTCTTGCAGATGTAATAGCCAGCAAGAAAATAACCTTCATGGATAAAATATGAAGGTCGCACATCGCCAAGGGCTCAAAGGGTTTCCCCATCAAAATATCGAGGATCATTTTGAGGTCCCAAGGGTCCACCGGTTGAGTGTGGTGCAGATACAGATTGGTGACTCCTTTGAGGAATCTCTTCATTGTAGGATGGGAGAATAAAGTATATCCGTCAATAGGTTTGTGAAAGGCGGTTATTGCAGCAATATGTACCTTAATGGAGGCGTAGGAAAGGCCTGATTCTCTGAGGTGTACCAGAATGCTCGGTATCGGTGCAAGAGTTCGATTCATGTTTGTTTGAGGACACCATGATGAAAAGCGAGACCACTTTGAGAGGTAGGTAGTTCGTGTGGATGCCTTTCTGCTATTTAGTAATATGTGTTGACAGTTTGCAAACATGTTATTTCTGACCCTTGGAATCAACTAGGTACCATGCCGTCAATGCTAGGTGGTTGACCTGTGGATGAAGAAGGGAACCGTGACTCTGTGAAAGCAAATCGTGTCGTATTGGTAACGGATACGGGGGACATATTGACATACGATGGAGGTAAGGATACCATGTCTGACGCGGCCAAGAAGGGGCTATTATGATTACTGTGGCTTCTTCCCTGATGATTTTCTCCACAGTCCTGGGTATTAGAGGCGTGGGAGGGAATGCATATAGGAGGCCACAACTCCAGTTGTGAAGAAAGGTGTCCCCTTTCAAATTCCGGCCAAGCCCCGCTCTCGAGCAGTACTGGCGACATTTTGCGTTGCCGTGAGTAGCAAACAGATCTATTGACGGAATCCCCCAGCGATGAAAGACTGTGGAGAGCACCTTGGGATGTAGCTCCCACTCGTGGTTGGGGGAGAAGTGTCTGCTCAGGGTATCGGCTGTGACGTTGTCCTGGCCTGGAAGATACTCCGCTATTAAAAAGACATTGTGTCGGTTGCAGAAATTCCATAGGCGCACCGCTTCTGCACACAGGGAGTGAGATCTGGCTCTACCCTGTTTGTTTATATAATAGACAGTTGTCATATTGTCGGTGAGGATTCATGTGACTTGTCCTTGGATAATGGGAAGAAAATGTTGGCAGCCATTGTATACTGCCTGGAGTTCCAGGAAATTGATATGCATCAACGATTTGTTGGAAGTCCATAAACCTTGCACTTGTTCATGCTGTAGGTGGGCACCCCATCTGATGAGTGACGTGTCTATGGTAAGCTGCACCGAAGGTTGTGGGCGATGAAACGGTACTCTTGACAGTAGGTTGTCTGGAATGGTCCACCAGGCTAGCGATGCTTTGACATGATTGGGGACTGCTACTGTCATGCATATGTCGCGGGTGTTTGGGGGACAAACTGTTGCCATCCAATGTTGGAGGCATTGAAAACATAACCTTGCGTCTTTGATGACGTAGGTCATGAAAGCCATATGCCCCATGAGTTGTAGACAGCGCAATATGAGGACTCTTGGGCTGATTAAGAGAATCTGAATTAAGTCCTGTATTGTCTGAAACCTCGATGGAGGCAAGAGAGCTCGTTCGCGTATAGAATCTAGATGAGCTCCGATGAACTGTATTGATTGATGTGGTTTCAGGGATGACTTGGGTGCATTGAGAATGAGCCCCAGTGCTTCGAATACTAT